GGACAGAATATGCGGCGGTTGGGAAATGAGCACGCAACGAATTTTGGAATGGTGGCAATTGCTTCCACAACACAGCGCAATGGGCCCGGGTTGGCAGTGTGGAACGACATGCAGTTCGCGAAAGGGGCTTGGTCGCGCGTATGCCCGATGCACCTTGCATCGTATCGGCCATTGCCGGTCCCGCCAGAAGCCTTGGGAAGCATGACAAGTATCCGGGGTGGGAGTCTGCACCGCCCGTTAGTCGGCGCATCGCAGTCCATCGACCAGGAAGATTCTGCATTCCTGGCCTGCTCTTCTCGGCCAACCGATCAAAGAAACCTCCATGGCGTTGGTGATGAGGCGATGCATTTGATCTTGAATGCTGTGCATCCGGGTGCGACGGCGGGGCACGTATAAAAGGCATTCAGCCTTTCCCCCGGCAGCAGAGCGGCAACGCCATCCTGCTGGGGCTTCATTTCTCCTCCCAGCTCGCGCCATGGCGCTCCTGCGCTGGTTGGCGGTGCTTCTGGTCGGGGTGGCGGTTCTGCAGAGCCAAGTCGTGGGTGAGTGCCTGTCTGTTCATCGGCTGTGAATCCTTCTCGTAGAGATCGGCTCCGAAATCTGCTTCCAATGTGGGCTGTGCAAGAGGGATGGGTGGAGGGCGGGGTGGGAGGTGAGGGGGCCGTAAATGCGACGTTGGCAGGAGCTGAATCGACGTCATGCGACTACCAGCGAGGCTGTGAGCGCCAGGCGGAGTTGCCGTGCTGGTGGATCGTGCGCAGACTGGTAATTATCGATGCACTCCGCGCCGTCGGATGTTCTTCGAACACATCGGCACACAGCGCGATTACTGAAAGGGCATCACCGCCGCCACAAGGGCCATCGTTCCGTATATCATGCCTGCTGCGAAGCGGCGCCTAGGTGGCGGTCCGGGTGGCCCCCACCACGAGGACTCCGCGCAGCCCTCGGCTCCCCGCACCCGCGCGGCGCAAACCGTTCAAGTGCGACCCCGCGACGCAGCCCACTCAACCAAAATTGAGGGGCACGGGAGCACCCACCGGCGGTGCGAAGTCCAGCCCCGGGGTGCTCAGGACAACGCGAGCGACTGGCGGGATCCGCAGACGCGATCCACGTGGCCTGGCCGCCTTGTTCAAAACTCTCCGCCTGCGCGGGATCCCTGCTTTCGCGGCGCACCATGGGGCCCATGGAGGGGCCATGATCATGTGGGTGGCGTCCGGGGCGGCCTGTGGCGGGCGAGGGCGGCCGGCGCTCGCTGGGCCGGTGGCGTGGTAGGGTCGGGGCGGGGAGGGAAGCTGGGAGGCCGGTGTCGTCCGAGGGGGTGCACAGGCGCAATGTACGCCAAGGGGAAGATCGCTGGGAAGTGCAGACGTGCCCAGCGCAGGGGAGGAGAATTTATCAGTCGGCACGAGATTACCGTACTGCTTTAACACTTCCGCATAGTAACGTAACGCTGGGCCCTTTTCGCGGAGTCGATGATTAAAAAACAATAACGGTGCCAGAGGGAAATGCGGAGCAGCCGAATTTAGTAACGCTCGGGGCGCGGCTTCCGGACGGGCTCGGCGCAGGCACCTGGCAGGCCACTGGCGATCGATCGGCAGGCAGGCAGGCGCGCACTGCTTGCCATCCGGGCGGCTCGGGCCTCGAACCTCGGGAAGCGATCGCAGGCATATGCCAGTGCCATCGCGGACACGATTTTGCAGCCGATCGCGTCGCCCGGCCCGCCGCCGATTGGACACACGAAGGCCCACCCCGCCTTGCGCCATCCTCTTGGCGCTCCCCGCCGGCAGGCTCCTGGGCGACCGATCAGCGGGCAGGCAGGCGCCCGTTGCTTGCCATCTGGGCGGCGGGGAGAGTGGGCGTTGACGCCGAAGGTGCCAACACGGAATGGCACGGGTGGGGAGTGGGGGCTGTCGGCGGGCGCGCGCTCATTGACCGACGGCCAGCACACACGTACGAGGCTTTGGACTGGTCTGTTGCACCTGAAACTTGGGATACAGCCTTCAGAACCCTCTCGGAGCCCGCACGACGCGATGCGGAACAAAAAGAAAATAACGTAATAGTCCGGGACGAAAATGCGGAGCAAAAAACGTAATGGTCGGGATGGACCGATGCGGAAGGTTGGATATCCTACGGTAGTCGCTCTGTCTTATCCATGAGGGCCCCTTCTTCTTTAGGGTCAGTGGTTTTAGGATGTAGGGTGTCGAAACAACAAGGGATCTTCACAGAAGACAGAAGACTAATTTCATACCTTAGTGTAGTCACACCTCCCACATGGTAATGCTTGACCTTTTGCTCCGGAGAAAACAATAAATAACGCTTTTTAATATTTTCCGCGGAGGAACGTTAATACAAAAAAACAACGCTCTTACTAAAATTTGGGAAAAAAACGTAACGGTAAAATTGTTTGATGCGGAAGGGTTGAATACACTACGGTGCCCATAAGGAAGAGTCGGTGCCCATAAGGGGAGGGGTGGTGTTACGAAAACCAACGAGAAAGACTTGGGCTTGGGGGCTGGGTTGGTGGCCTTGTTGATGGGCCCGCAACTTCTGAGGGCAATTTCCATTTGCCGATTTTGGCCGCCAATTTTGAGCGCTTCCAGCCTGGACTGAGTAATGGAGCTCCTGGTCGAGAATTTGGTTTCTGCTGGTCAGACACGCTCATTCCTGTGCTTCCACAGTTTGCTTTTACTCACCTGTCAGGCGAGTCATCTTGCTCGAGTCTTCAACTTGCACAGTTTGTGGTGTGGTATTGTGCGTTGCGGCACGACTAAGCGCATTGAGAAGGCCGTTGTCTAATATGGGCATGTGGGAAGGCGCAAGACTGAGGCGCATAGAGGGAAAGAATGGTGCAGAACAGCAAGAATCAGACCAAAACGTGTGCACCACACCTGGTTGGAGTGAACCTTAGCCTGACTGTCGATGGGGCGCTTCTCTGCCACTCCGTTCTGGCATTCTCTAACATTTTATGTCAGTTTGTTGTTTCTTTGACATTTCCTTTTGAGCACTGCATTCTGTGGCCATTGCCTTCTTACACTCTGCACAATGGTGTGAAGAAAAATTGAATATTCCAAAAACATATTGAAGCTAAAAAAATGACTTTGTTGCAATGGAAGGCGCTATGGGTGTGCCCAGCAGGCATTGCGATAGCACATCAGTACATGTCTGCCCCTTCAGTACAAAACATGCTACACAACCACGTGGAGCTGGCAACAACAGAGTCCCTGCTAAACGAATCCACACATGCTGTTCTTGTTCTCCACGACAGTGCATCCAACAACTGAATGTCCTGTCATTGTCACAGGCACAAACAACTCATAATGTGCTGGTCCAAGTGTCAGCGCTTAACAAGGGGCCAATGTACAATCCCAGTCATGTACAGCGTGACATGAGTCAGACCGCACCCCTTCCACTTTCAGGCTATGCCTATTTCACCACACAGTTTGTTGCCATTGTGATGGTCTCTTACGCATTCCCCAATGCAAACTGGTGCTGGTTACTTGTGTCTGTACATGCAGTCAAACGGTATGTTCCTGTATTGCAGGTCGCTCTCTGTTTCAGGATAACGGTGACGATGGCACGGATGATGGGGACGACGACATGGAGATGCCTGAGGAGGTAGAGGGGCCGAAGGAGTCTGACGTGCCTTGCTCAACTGACGTCACATATGAAGTCCTCAATGCATGCGACTGGAGCGAGGACAAATTCCCAAGGGACTATCCGTCAAGCTCTGCACATTGGTCTCCACTCTGCGGCACTGCCCACAATGAGAAGTATGCCTGCCTCTTGCGTGCTTCAGCTGATTTCCTGATCATGGCAAATGCACTCCTTCTGCAAACTTCCTTCAAGTATGCCTTGGGCTACCAAGCGCAAAAGGATACTATATGACAGCAAATTGTGAATTGGGCATTCTCTACGATTGCCGCATAGGGCGATGTGGCAGAACCTTAGAGCAGGGTTGAACCAATGCCTCCTTGACCCATGCACCCAGAGCGATCGATGCAGTGTTTCTGAGCCTGAAAGCAAGCCCCCTCCTGCTGCCGCCATGGCCTAGGCCTGTGCCACACCTGCCACTCCTTGTGAACGCTTCCTTCCTGCAATCCTAAATGGTACACATTTATCAAACTCAGGTGCCATCCTTATTCTGACAGAACGAGGTGATAGTCTGTCGCTGCCTGACAAAACAGTATGTGGTTTGTAAGATATGTCCCAAATGTAAGGTCTGTGGTTTTGTCAACATGTAAAATACTGTACAATATTAAGCCCTTCCACATAATAACGCAACACTTGGTCTTTTTCTGCGGAGAAAATATTATGAATAGTAACGCAAATCTTGGCCTTTCTGTGCGGGGCAACGTAAAAAAATAGAAATAACGCTCTGAAAAGCGAAATGTGGAGCAAAAAGTGTAACGGTGAAATTCTGGTGCAGAAGGGTTGAATGTTTTACAGTACATTTTATACTCTTGGGCTATACATTTTCGATACCGCTAGAAGGAATAAATTTGACCCTTTCAGATTCCTCAGTGCCTCGATGCCCACCAGTTGAAAGACCATCTGCTGTGTACTGTTGCTGCTGTTATTAGAAACGTTGTCTTAGGAGCGATCCCTCGAATGACGTTGCTGGAGCATGTGATGTATATGGCCGCATGCCGTCGGTGTCCAAACAGGTCCACAGCAACTCGCGTCATCACGCGAATGGTGCCAGAATTCTTTTCCTGAGCGCTTTGTGCGTGCTGGCCTTGCAGCTACTCCATGTGGGATGTGGGGCAGATCTCCACCGAAGGTGTGAGGATAGTTGCTGAGATTGGTGACCACGGCACACTGGAGGAAGAGGTCCAGGCCTGCATCGATGCAGGCAACTGCAGTGCTTTCTACGAATGGGGGTGCTCCACATTTTCTGGCACATGCGACCATGCTGGCACTATAGACATGTCTGGCGACTACCCTTATGTGTCATTGCTGAGCATGATCGCCCCCTCTCCTGATTGGTGAGTCATTTGTGCATGCATTGGATGCTTTGCTGCTCAAGTTTTTTCCAAGCATTTGCATCACATTCTTGCCAATGGAGGAATCATCGTGAGACAAAGAATGCTGTCCTCTTGCCACTTTCAAGATACCGACAGAAGCCAACCTAACATTTTGGATGGGACACACAAGCCTAAGCAAGTTGAAATTTGCACACAAGACAAAAAGAAACCCAAAACGCCCTGAAAAGTGCCTCTAGCCATCAACCTGCATTAGGCAACAACTGATGAATTGGGAGAAACCCAAGCTCCTGCAGTTCCACAGTCAGTGCAGTGGCTGCTACGTGTTGTCAAGTCATGCCTGTGCCTGCTGTCGTCTGTTGGCATGGCTCACCTCTCCTCCAATTGCCTTGACGACCCGTTGGAGAAGAGCTGGTCCAGTCAATTCCCATCGAAGCAGACCTTATATTGTAGCATCCTTGTGAGGATTGATGCTGAAGAGAAAGGGAGAGTGTTCTAAGCCCATTTTCATTCTGATGGTGGCAAGACAAACTCACAAATTTGCAGAGGCACCTCTAGGAATAAGAGCACATGATCTTGAAAGCAGAGAATTCCGGCACTGTTTGGGCTTCCCCTTTCAGTTGTTGGTATTGTACATCAGATTGGATTCAACATTCAGCAGAATTGCATCGATGTCTCCTTGCAGAGGAACAGAGCCATTGAGGCACCAAAGCCCAAACTGCCACAAGGCCATTCTCCATCTTCCTCATTGTCATTTTTCATCATCTCTAGCTTCAGTTTGACAATGTTATCCATTCAGATGATGGGGGCTCTGGGCTATGGACGTCTTCAAATTTTGATAGTGACAGCGACTGTACTGAGCCTGGTGCACCCCAGCACTGCATCCGTACAGCCTGTGTCGTGGAATGGTGGGAATTTCGCTGGTGGCATTGTAGGAGTGACAACGGTGCTGTGTGGCTTGCTGTTGTTTCTGGGGCTAGGCAAAGGGAGAGGGACTAAAACGATGTTTCTCTTAGAATTCAATCTGCAGCTGTTGTTCCTACATTGAATCTTGATGGCCCTAATCATTCAACACATGTGTCCGATGTCACACATGGATCACTGAAGACTGTGATATCGTATGTTCATGTGTCTGCTGCCCAACAAACCAGCGAGATTGCACCACGGCTCTGCCATGAGTGGCATTGGAGTAATGATGACCCACAGTAGCTGCGTAGCTTTCATTGTTCTTGCTTTTGGTCACTCAACTCTCAAGAAACGTGTGTGTTTCCACAGGATGACGGGCGTTTCGAGTGCGAAACTTTGTGGACCTGGAGGAAACTGGACCAGCGAATACAAGCGCGATCTGGGCGGCTATGATGCAGGGACTGACAGTGGCCCATCCTACACATCGCCAGATGATGCAACCGATCCTTTTGAGCCCATCTTCGCACTCAATGCTACTGATGAATCAAACCTTCTCTACAATGTGGACGAGTAAGTCCCTGTGTTGAATTCCAAATTTGTGCACCACCGGAGGTGCAGGTGCCACCTCGCAACAAAGTGTCAGGTTATGTGAAGCCCAAAACATTGGTCACATGGAAGTGAAGGTGCAAAACCCAAAAAAGAGGTCGGCACTCCGGTGGACCCTGGCAGATCGCGAACATGAGCACATCGCAATGGTTCGCTTGCTGCAGTGCTGTGAATCGAGACTTGTTGCTGTTGTTGTTGCTGTCGAGATTGCACGAAGTATGACAACTATGAAGTATGTTATCTGCTTCCTGTTGTCATTTGGAGGGCATGGATTCGAATGCTTTCATCCTCTTGGCACTCTGTTCCACATACTGAGAATGCTGTTGTGTGGCTGTGTGAAAGGGGGAAGCTGTACCCCGTGTGCACCATCACCTTCACCCTGAGCACCGACGATCCATAGGCAGGCTTCAATGTCCAGATCTCCCTGTCGCCTTCACTTTGTGGACTCCTTGGCAGCTCCTCCCGGAATTCGCTCATCGTATCCGTGTGAATTGATGGCCTCAAAGTCATCCCAGGGGGCGCTCGTGTGGGGTCGTTTTTGACAATAGTGTATGTGTGGTGTTTGTTCCCATCTTGTTGTTGTGATGGCTCGCGCTCTCCAGATAAGACGCACGGATGGCGTGCAGGAAGGATATTGTGCCACCTGCCAATCTTCGAGCAGTGTTCACTGTGCGACCGCTTACATTCACCATGTATGACATCTCGACACACACAAAAAATAACATCTTGACATTCAGCATGTAAATACACCGAATGAGACTGATTGCAACCCGTTGCGGTTTGGACCATTGGCATGGCGGTCACGGTCATGATGACTTCCTTTATTGCATACTACTCCTCGAGCTACCCACTGAATGACAGCACCATGAGAATCACTGTCCATGCGGAAACTGGTCAATTGATTTTGGCGACAATACTGTCGCCATTTGAATATAACAGCTATTACAGGCACGCGTTACAGCCGCGAATCGGAACACGAAAGGGTTTTGATGCATCAGTTGGCCCATGGCCATTTGGCCCATCTCGTGTACTTCAGCGGAAAGTTGCATCCGCCAAGTCCACATCCTAACGGGCGCTTCATTTGGCAGATTGACAGCAACGTTGCGCCCACCAGATGGTGGCGGGCACTGGCTGCAGTTGCGGAGTATTGGCCCAAGTGTATCTAATGGCTGACTGGCGGTTTCCACGGCCCCGAGCGGAATTCGCGTCCGCAGGGGCGGTGTGTTGTGGCGTCGAGCCTCGCAACTCCGCAGGAATGGCGTCCAAATGGCGATTCTCCCAGCAATGAGCCAGCCACGCACGGAAATGAACGCTCACCCGATCGAGCCGTAACCGATGGCGAAGATGCACCCACAATGGGCGACTGTCAGTGCGGCATGTACACAACGGACGGGGCACGATCCCCGTGTACGCACAGGAAAACGCAAGTATGGGCCCGAAACAAGCGTGCGTCCATGACAAGCAAAGCTGCGTGTCTCTCTATGTCCCATCCGTCCTGGTGGGGCAGCCAGAGGATTCCGCATGACTACAACTCAGATATGTTCCCATAAAAACTGTGCGCGGCACCACCGGGGTGGGGCACCCTAGCTGTTACGTGCGGCAAGCTCCCGCTCAAGTACCAACCGTTGTTACCCATGGTTCCTGCCACGCTGGGTGCGTTGCAAGGACCTCAGTGTACTCGCTCTGTTCCCCAACACACTGGACTCGGCTACCCCGGCCTGCCCATCGCACCGCCAACACTGCACTCGCGCCAGCATCTGCCACACAGTTCCAAATGCTACAAAGCCCATCACTGGACCCCGGGTACCCCCATCGGGTCCGCGGTGCACTGCCAGGAGTGTGCTTACCAGGCTTGTGCGCTTACCAGGCTGGTGCAATACCACGCTGGTGCGCTTGCCAGGCTGGTGCTTTTAACCCCAGACCAACTAATGTATATAAGAGGGTCGAACCTCTACCCGCCCTGGTCACCACACCTGTCGTAAGGTCCGGCTCGCCCTCGCACCATCGGTCACACTTCTGTCAGTCCGGCACGTCCTTCAATCATCAGTCACACATTCGGCAGGCCTGCGGTCCGTCCGGTGCAGCTCCAAAAATGGTCTGGGCACATCCTCTGAGCGTTCAGCAGCCTTCACACGGGGTGGCACGTCATCAGGCCTCCGGCATGCTCCCACGCAGGCACCACACATCATCGGGGCAGCTCACGTCTTCACATTCGCAGAGCACGTCTCATGGGGCGCATCCTGCACGGTCACGCCCGTTCCGCACCAATCACTGAGCATTCACGCAACCATAGGTCGTTGCAGCCAAGACCATAATGAAACCTTAGTGACAATGTACGCGGTTCCGGAGGGGTACTTAGAAAATCGCCGCATGTGTCGCATTCTGCGTCCACAAAGCGGTTTGTTAAATTGCAATCAGGAGCTTGCAGCTCCCGCAGGATGAGAGGCTCAGTTACCGTTTAAACGGTGGAATTTTCCACTGTTCGCGAACTGGAAGCGCTCCAATGCCTTGCTCATGGCACTGCAGAATATAACTTAATGTTACAGAAATGCTGCCATAAGAAAATCAACCTTCCAGAAAAAGAGTTCGTCTGAGACTGTCAGTGAACAAGATTTCCAACGTGCGAATGGTACACTGTTGAAGCTAGGCCCAGCATCATCCGCTAAACGACGGCATGGTCATCGGAGTTAATGCAAATGAAAGACAAAAACTTGGGCTTGGACACTGATGACCATTGCGTGCTATGGGACTTGCATGCCTTCCCTTCCGGTACGCGCTCTCCTCCACTCCAACATGAGTCGGCAATCAGAGGACATCGCCCTTTCCAAACCCGTTGAAATACACCAAGGCAATGCCCATGTTGCCCTGACAGGCGATCCACTCCACGCTTTCGGTAATTCATCGAACGTTCGTCCCCCAATCAATCTCCTTACCAAAGAGCTGGTGGCAACGCGCCCATCACGGCAGAGAAATCGGGGCTCGCCACTCGCCAACTCGCCTGCGATCACCTTGTAATGTGCAACTTTCTTTCACCTTCAACGACCTTGACGCCCCATCATGACTGGCGCCCACCAAGACCATCAAAGCACACCCATTCCAACACTCAAAGCCCACGCAGTCAGACATTCTGCATCATACCCACCGCAGGCTCCGAGAGAGGGAAATCAGACATCATCAGCGACCCGTGAGGCCGGCTCACGCTGTAACGTGAAGTCTGCAAGATCGGCTCTGAATTGCCGATTCAACATGTCCCCACCGGCGAGTCCAGGCGACAGTCAGGGAAACGGCAAATTCTTACACGTCCACAGGACTTGTCCTCCACGGCCTCTGCCCTACTGGGGTGGACAGAGCCGTATTTGTACCTGGCGAGCACGATATGCATATGCTGTGCCCCCCTCTCGTCACGAATTCCCACGCACGCTCAAGCCGAACGTCCGTCTGTCATACCCCAACCACTTCACACCCCGTGTCATTTTGCATCACACCCTGCTACCCATCACCTCGCGTTCTGCAGTGCATCGCCTTGCACCCCGCCGCACGTCACTCTGCACCACGCGCTTCCCACGCTTCCTCCGTGCCACTCGCCCATGAAAACCGTACCAAGAAACAGCCTTACATAATGCCCCAAACGACGTGCTGCTCCATCACCCCCGGGCGCCGGCGACCGCCGTGGTGGCCCTGGGTGCCATCCTTAGTAATGCACAAGATAACGCCACTCATCACAAGCCCTTCCCATGCCGCCTTAAGGCAAAAGGCCAGCGCCCTCGTTCGGTGAACAAGACACAGAAGTGGCCAACAAAATGGTAGCCATTTTGTGGGCACTCGGGCAACACCAAAGGGAGACCAGATTGTGAGCTTGCGCAATCGGTGAATGACCACGCCTTTCATTCGAATTGGACACATTTGTGTTTTAAACTTTGCGCTTTGGTACATTCATATGCGTTTATGTTTCTGGCTGATAGAATCTTGATACTTGAGGCCCCAATGTTGCAACCATTTTTGCGATCAATGCGCATCTCAACGGCGTATGCACGCTGCGGAGGCAAAACTTTTGCCCCACGGAAAAGATTCCAACAGTGCTTTTGCTCAGGAATCAGTTGCCATGTTTTGTGACACATATCCTTCCTGACAAAAATACAGTCGGTCTTCGGTGTACGCTTTGAAATTCGCCAATTTTGTACCAGCAAAGTTAGCCTCCGGCTGGCGACGCAAGCTTACCGTTGCCCGGAAATGCGCATGGACACTGGTGTTGCCATTCGAATACCACTGACCCAAATCCGCCAGGTTTCAGGAAGGATGGCTGTATTTCTTGTGCCTGTTGGTGATGCGAATATGCTCTCTTGGATATGCACAGCCGTTCTTGTCAACTGCACTTGCGTGCAAGGTTCCTCCGACAATGGCCATTTAAAAGCCCGCCAAAATGAATATGACCAACCATTGGATTATGCTCATTTGCGACCGTAGTAGTATATTCAACCCTTCCGCATAGTAACGTAACATTTGGCCTCTTTTGCAGGAGAAAGCTCTAAATAAATAACGCTCGTTGATAACAATCTTTGCGGAGCAATTTAAAAAAACTTGAATAGCGCTCTGGAAAACAAAATGTGACGCAAGCAGCGTAGCGGTAAACTTTTTTGATGCGGAGGGGTGGATTATACTGAGGCACCTGCAAGAATTGTCACATTGCGCCACAGACTGCCACTGCACGCCGCAAAACCGCTGCAGTGCGATTCTGCACAGCGCCTCTGCGCTGACCCCGTTGCGATTGTTGCAAAACACTGGCACCGAGTCGAGCCCACTAGCTCGCCAACATGACGCACCATGAGTCGTTGCGCCGCGAGGGGCCACGCCGGAATGTGCTGGGCCTCCCAGCATCCGATCACGGCTGACTGGCCTCCTCACCCGCCACAGTGCCGGCGCCGGGCCGCAGAGCTGCCTTCTGAGTGGCGCCCCAGACTGCCAGCCTCGTGGAGTCTCAGAGCAGCGCCAGCGCCACGCGTTCGCGGCCCGGCCAGGGACGTCACAGCCGCCCGACGTCGGGTCGACGGCAGCCCACG